TGCTACGCACATCAACTAATAACATGGAGGCCGGGGAAGGATCTAGCCAGTCCAACCCAGGGGACATACATGCCATGTTATCTTCACTCATGACATCCATGTGCAAGGTCAACTCCAGGCTGGAGAAACTTGAGTCGGTCACCACGGCCCTCACTCTAGCAGGGCCACCCGCGGCTGCGGTACAAACACCAGCCTTGCCATTAGTCGCTCCAGCCAGCACCCTGGATGACCAGGAAGTTAGCCCGGCCCACATGATACCTGAGCATATCAAAAGGGATATCCTGGAAGGTAAAGACGTCAACCTGGCTTCCCTGTTGATTGCCTCCCAGGACATTGTGGAACATAAGACGTATGCTTATGATGATGTTTCTGTTATTGTCAGATCTAGGGATGCCCGCCTGAACAGGAAACTGACTATCCCAGAATTTGTACTAGCGTTTGGTATTTACAGGGATGTCATCTGTGCGGTTTATCCCAACAGAAGAGAGGAGTTTGATCTCTATATGCACAAGCTGGTAGACCTGGGCAACAAATATGGTGGTTCGGCATTCTATGACTACCATAGGTCTTTTTCTGCAAAAGTGGCTGGAGCCTTCTCCCAGTACGGAACACGATCCAACTGGGGAAGGATTGATACCGTCTTATTTTGCAGACACTTTGCAGGTCTAAGAACACCAGCTTGTGCATACTGCTCCTCCACAGCCCATACTAATAATTTTTGTCCCAACACGGCAGACGGACATGCCTCCACACAAGGAACTAGTTCCTCTGGGGAGCCAGGGAAACTATCAAAAGACAAATTGGGACGCCCAATCAAGTTTCTGGGCAAGTCCCAGATATGTAATAATTTCAATGTTGGGTCTTGTAATTACAGTGGATGTAGACTATTGCATGTCTGTTCAAAATGTTTTAGGGCATATGCAAAGACCATGTGTCCAAATAAAATGTATTCCAAGCCTTACCTTACGTCCATTAATATGCCAGTATTCACAGCATTGATGTCTCAGCACCCATCTAGACACCTGGTAGACTTTCTTATTTCTGGTTTAACAGAAGGCTTCCACACAGGTATCCTACACATACCAGCTGGAACTCTGGAATGCCCTAACCTACAATCCGCCCAACACAACCCAACAATGGTTGACACCCTCATAGCCCAAGAAGTGGATGATTGCTTTGTATTGGGGCCTTTTAGAACTCCTCCATTCACAGAATGGCGCACCAACCCTATTGTTATTGTCACAGGGAAATCTTCCCAAAAACAGAGACTCATCATTGACTTATCGGCTCCCCACTCATCGGCCAACCCCAGTCTTCTCTCTGCAATACACCACTATAGATCACGCCATTACAGCTATCATACAAGCAGGGGTTGGAGCCTGGCTCAGTAAGACCGACATTACTAACGCCTTCAAATTACTCCCTATCCACCCCACACTGTGGCACCTGCATGGCATCAAGTGGTCCGGGAACTACTATTTTTTCTCCCGGTTAACTTTTGGGTCCAAAAGTAGCCCAGCTATTTTCGACACATTTGCTGAAGCATTATGCTGGTTACTATTGAACATAGCCGGATGCCCTACGGTATTACATTACTTGGACGATTTCCTACTGGTCGAGGAGAATACTGCACCTCCCACTAGCCTCAAAGCTACCACTAAGCTGTTTGAGCAACTAGGTGTACCCATCTCCCCAAAGAAAACAGAAGGGCCAGACACGGTTATCACTTTTCTGGGTATCCAATTAGACTCTGCCACAATGCAAGCAAGCCTACCATACGATAAGATAGAGAATATTCTCACTTACATAAACAACTACCTACAGCTCGGCACTTGCAACCGCAAAGAGCTACAGTCCCTGCTAGGGTCACTAAATTTTGCAATGCGCATCATACCTCAAGGCCGCTCCTTTATTTCACGACTATTGCATCTTTTCCCACTTTTTCTACATGACACGCACAGGTTGTCCTTAGATGCCCAAGCTACGGCAGATCTAAACATGTGGAAGAGATTTTTAACCACTTGGAATGGCAAAAGTATGTTCCTCCCTCAATTGACTGAATCATCTCCTACCATTTGGTCAGATGCGGCATCTACCACTGGTTTTGCAGCAATTTTTGGGAACGAATGGCTTTGGGGCAGCTGGCCTTCAGCAGTTCAGGATTTGGAAGGTTTTTCCACTACTTCAGCTCTTTTTGAGATCTACCCCATAGTGGCGGCTGCCGTAGCGTGGGGTCATTTATGGGCTAATACGCCAGTGCGTTGTTACTCAGACAACCAGGCAACCTGTCACATCATCAACAAAGGTCGTTCCAAATCTCTTACGATCATGAGATTTCTGAGGAAACTCACTTGGTTGGCAGCTTGTCATAATTTCTTCCTATGTTGTTTCCATGTGCCAGGTGTATATAACACAGCTGCTGACAATTTGTCTCGCTTTAAATTTCAGGAGTTTCATCAAGCACTCCCGTCAGCAGCACCCACAGCCACCATCACTCCAACATTTCAACAACTCATACTGGACTAGACGTCATCATGCAGCATAGCAGGACATTGTCCCAGTTGGCACTTTCAAACAATACAAACAAAACATACAGCAGGGCTTTCACACTATTCAAACGATTCCTTCTGGAACATAACATCATACAACCGTTTGTTATGACATCTTTTTTGGGGTTTGCTTCCTTTTGCCACCTTAAACTCAAAATGTCATACAACACCATCAAACTCTATCTCACTGGCATTCAACACCACATGCTCATCTTACACCCAAATAACAAGTTTTATGGCCTCTCACCAAATTAAGACCATACTCAGAGGTATTCAAAAATCAGAACCCACACATTTGGCCCAGAGGCTACCCATAGATAACCATATCTTCATAGCATTATCTAACCTACTCGACCTGAAACCATTTGACACTAATACGAATTCTATCATCAAAACAGCAATATACATCGCTTTCTATGGATTTCTACGACCCAGAGAATTCACTACGACCTCCACGACCCAAACCACTCCATTCCTCCTCTATTCCCACTTGACAAAACATATGGATCATTACATCCTGTCTTTACCTCACTCCAAAACCAGCCAGCACATACCTGTAAACATTCCGTACTATCCCACGCACAACAGATGGTGTCCCGTCAAGGTTCTTGATGCCTACATACAGCACCATCACTTACTGCCCTCGCAACCGTTATTACAACTACAAGGTGCAGTACTCACCACTACAACCTTTATGACCTACGTCAGGTCCTTGCTCACACAACTGGGCCTCAACGCAAACAAATACTCAGGACACTCCTTTCGTATAGGAGCCGCGTCCACAGCCTCCAGTGTCAACATCCCAACTCATGTTATCAAAACACTGGGGCGCTGGAAGTCATCCGCTTACTCACGGTACATACCGAACCCAGTACAAGAATTAAGGGATGCTTTCATAAACATGTCTGGTTGATAAATGTATATGTATTGGTCGTCTGTTAATAAATTTGATTACTTAATTTTTGCCCTCTTCTTTCTCAGGCCTACCTCATCGTCGGTTTCGGCACACCACAACCGACTTGCTCCTTTTATCATCCTACTCTTATTCATGGTATTTCATACTGTACTATCTTAAGCACCTAACACAAGTATTAAGGCAATTTGCCTGCATTTGTGGGAGGTGCTGGTTTGCTACCCCTAGCCTACTTAAGGCACTCCCCTTACCTTGCTCCTTACCGTTCGAGGTCAGCGTTGAATGACCCTCCCACCACACCACTTTTTACATTTATTTCCTTTCTATTTCTTTTCCTGGGTGGGCCCTCTTCTTTCTCAGGCCTACCTCATCGTCGGTTTCGGCACACCACAACCGTCTTGCTCCTTTTATCATCCTACGCTTATTCATGGTATTTCATACTGTACTATCTTAAGCACCTAACACAAAAATATATATATATATATATATATATATGAAAAGTAGTGGGCGCTCACTAAAGTATTAAACACATGATAGCTGTGGGCTGCAGTAACCAATACAAGGATTCCCAACCCTTGTAGATAGTAGAATATGAGAAAGGTAGGAGACCCCGCCCCGAACAATATATGTAGGAATTTATACCTACACATGTCTTTTTTAAAGCTGTACACACACTTGACCTCCAAGATAAAAGCAAAAAAATATAATAGTGTAGTACAGTATATCTGGTGAATAGGTAGTGAAGTAATCTTGATAGAGCTAACTCAGAGCTCAACTGTATTGCGCATGGACGGAACAATCCCCGTGTAAGGATAGATGTTGGTATAGACGCCCCAGATGTCTCAAGTAAGGTGCAAGGTGCAGGACATATACTCCATGGTGAAGTACTAAAAGATATAAGAAAAAAAATAATAAATATATATATATATATATATATATATATATAAAAGAAATAAAAGTGTATGTACTTACATTTACCAGAGCAGAACTTGCTCTGGTATATGCAGCATGGGTAATCCCCACCTAGGAATATGATGGTATCAGGAAGCAAAAAAGTTGGATCAAACTAAATATAAAATTGACTATTTACCATACAAAAACAAAATGAAATCGCTTGAAGCAGTCCCACTTTACATATTTCGCCTGTCCAAGGCTACTTCAAAAGTGTCACTTCTTCTGTAGGCTTCCTCTGAAGGTCACATGGCTCAAAACACAGGAGAGCCACCCGTATAAGCTCTTGAGGGCGTTTTGTATGTCTCCCATGCAATCTCAATTTGGGTACTGGTAGATGCTTATTCGGTGGGCAAGATGTGCTGGCTCCAGTTAAGATCTGGGGCTTGAGGAGGGAATATACAAATAACTTGCCTGGAAGGAGGCTGATATTCCGGTTTACTCTCTGAACCTCACATCCCAGATAATCTAAAAAAGGAGAGACTTTTAAATAAACTAAGTCAACATCCTTATAGATTTTTAGTGATCCCAGCTCTTGCTCAGGTGGCGTATCAATCTGCTTGTTTTGGCATATTTAAAACTTTACATAATAATAATAATTTATTTATTTGTGCCCTCATTACACAGACTAAAAAGTGAAATGTATTAATGTTTTATTACACATATTCCCATGATCATTGTTTCACTGTTTTAATATCTCATGGCTGTAGTTTGAGAAACAAAAATAAATAAATTAGTAATTGCACTCATATATTAAATACAAATAAAATCCCTTTAATTCAGTACCAATATACAATTCAAAAAGGTGCATAAAAAAATGCAGAGTGTAGAGACAATTTAAGGTGTCAATTTAGACACCTGCAAAAGGTGCAAGTGGGCATGCAACCGTCTGAAGTATGGCTTTTTCACCTGGCAATAGACGAGAATGTTATGTGTGTCTGTCAATATATGTGAATCGTAGTATGGGGATACTTAAATGTTTGTAAAATTAAAGCACTTATAGCTTTCATAATGCTTGTAAGTGGACCAATCATGTTTATTGGAGTTGTGTTGTGGTGATTAACAGATCAAATAGAAGAGTGAAATCACCATGAAAGATCTTACCCAACAACATTCTACAACGGTCGTGGATGTCTTTTGCTCAATTCTGAAATTTCCCATGAAACAGATATTCACAGTTACATCCACTCAAGAAGGACTAACACATATTCCCACATATAGTTTAAAAAAAAAAAAAAATAATGAATACAGGTTAGGCCTATGAAATGACATGTGGACAGATGAGCAACACATTTGAACATTGATTATAGCCCCCCCCCAATGGACAATTTATTTTACAGATGGGCGGCGAGGCAGCGCTGATCTCAGCTCTTCCTGCTCAGCTCCCTCACGCAACCTGCCAACAGCCGTAATGTGACATCACTAAGTGGCGCGCGAGGGAGCTGAGCAGGAAGATCACAGCTCCCTCACCGCCTATTTCGCGCACCCACTCCCCCCCTTGCCTGTCCACTCTCCATCCGGCATGCCTGCCTGCACGCCCAGGTAAAAATCCACTCAGTTCACCCAAAGGTAGAGAGGCTGCGTGGATTTAAACTAAAAGTAAATAATTATTTGTAAATGTTTGGGGGAAATGTGTCTGTGTATGTCAGTGCATGTGTGTCAGTGAATGTGTGATTAGATCGGTCAGTGTGTCTGAGTGATTGAATGAGTGAATGTGTGTTTCCGTGAGTTTGTGTGTGTGTGTTTGTCAGTGCGAGCCTGTGAGTGTGTGTTTGTCAGTGCGTGCCTGTGAGTGTGGTTGTCAGTGATTGTGTCAAATCAGTGAGCGTGTGTGTGTGTGTGGGTATATGCGTGTATGTCAGTCAAAGCGTGTGTTAGTCTTTAACATGAAGGGGTGTGGCCTTGACAAGAAGTGGTGGGGCAAATTTAAATTAGGGGGTGCCTGAGTTCCATCATGCCTCATAAATTCAAAATACTTTTTTTTACCACTGGATTCGGCCCTTCCACTGATCCACTACTTTTTTTGGCAAGGCTGAACTACATTCATATTTCAGCGATGCCGAAAGGGATAAAAGTGCCACAGCCTCTCTTTGCAAAGCATTCTCACTTTTTAAAAGATAACGGTCATCAAAAAGATGTGTAATATCTTAATCCTACAGGGTTATTCACTAGAGTGGAAAAAGTCAGGAATTCAGAGTGAATTGCAAATTCAAGACCAAAATAACTGAGCTGGAAAAGATCTCAAAATCAGCTTTGCTTTCAGTTTGGCTACACTGGCCTTAAATTTAATTTGAATTCCCAACCATTCTCACATTAGTAAATAATCCTGGTTATGTTATACTAATTTTTTTTTTTTTAATTCACATATATTGAAGAAAATCACTTGCCTACCAATCCCACTCCCCCTGACACCCATCATGTATCTTTGTACAACTTATCTTGGGTCAGACTGTCAGATATCCCTGCCAATGCTGGTTTACAACATAAAACGGCTTTTGAAAATTGTGAGCTCTTTCTACATGCAGTATTTTCTGTCCGGTAAATTTAAAAAGCTACAGATGGTTGGAAATTATTGAGCTCTGGCTTTGGTAACGGATAGTCTGACCGAAAATATATAACATGGCTGTCAAAAGAAAAAGCGAACAAGTAGGCAAATGATTTAATAAAGTTCACTAAACATGAAAGGAAATAAATATATATATAAAAAATAAAAACTAGATGGTGTATTATACCAAAGATTATATTATGATATAAAAAAAAAAAAAAACAAAAAAAAAAAAACCACAATGACAGTTATCCTTTAAGTGAATATTGAACTTCCCCATTATGACTGGGAGTTGTCTTAGAGTGCCAGGAATTCCTATTTTTTTTAATATAGGTATATTATATGGCATTATATTATGCAGTTTTATTAACTATTACTCCAACTATTTATCTTTTTAGTACAATTTATGAAACAGCAGCTTAGAGAGATTTGCTGGCCACCATCTTATCAGTCAACTGGAGTGGGGGGGGAGGGGGATGTGTAGGATGGGAAATATATTTCATAATAATTAACATACAATTTTTAAATTAGAGACATTTTATCGTTAATTCACATTTTTGTCAAAGAAACATTTCATAATTGGTTAAACAACATAATGCTAATACCAGTCTTATCCAAAGAATACTGAAGCTTTCCACCAGGCCAAGGTTTCTGGAATACAGGTAGTTTTTCAGTACAAGGATTTTTATATTATTTTACAAGCGATTTCAGTTTTTATAAGTCTGGTGAAGAGCAGAAGATCCCGGCATCTGCTTCTGTGGAAAAATGCGCAATCCTCCAACGGAACACAAACAGTTTGTGAGAAAGGTCCATTGATCATCTTTTGCTAAAGAATTTATAGTACACTAAGCCCCCAAGGATGGCAAGTTCAAGAATGATGATAATTGACATCAGAAGCTTGTTTGTCACAATTCTGGGAACAAAGATCAGGTATATAGAAATATAAGAATTAGAATGATTGCATAAATGAGTTAAAATCTGAAATAAATTAGCACTACAACAACAACTAAAGTTATTTTCTGTGTGTATTTAAATGTTATGTAGCACAGAGAAGCCAAGTTTATGCTGATATAGTCCTCTTTTGTTCTTGACTACTGACTAAGCTTGTTGTTTACATGAAAGCAGATGCCAGCATTTGGCTTTGGTTTGGTAAACTATTCAAAAGGATGTTAACTCCTTTAATGTGTTACTCCAACCAAAAAACAAACAAAAAAACAACAACAGTGCAAGCTGTGAGCCGACATCAGACATACAATATGCACAGTATAAACATTATAACCTGGAACTCTTGGTCTGAGTTGGCTAATGAAGCACCATTGATCGTGTGGGAGGTGGAGTTACACCTCTGACAGCAGAGGGTTTTAACTCTGTATGTATGTTTCAGATTGAAACGCTGCACATACAGACTCCAGGGAGCATGACCACTACAAATCACTGAAGTGGTCATAGTGCTTGGAGTAAACATTTAAAGAATCACATTTACACTCGGAGCACCATTATAATCATCACATTATTTATGAATAAGTGCATAGCATGAAACGCTTTAGATTGAAGGAGCATGCTGTTGGTAGGGATCGACCGATATTGATTTTTTTTTTTAGAGCAGATACTGATAATCTGTGAACTTTCAGGCATATAGCCGATAACTTACCGACATTCTGTACATTTACCATTTTGAAAAAATACTTTATTTCTAAAGGTAAATGCACAAAATATACATGCCACATGTAATGGATGCAGTGTGTTTAGACAGGGGAGCTGTGTGTGCGTGCGTAAAGTGAATGCAGTGTGCGCGTAAAGTGAATGCAGTGTGTGTGTGTAGTGTGTATATAATGAATGCAGTGTGTATATAATGAATGCAGAGTGTGTGTATATAATGAATGCAGTGTGAGTTTGTGTAGTGTGTATATAATGAATGCAGTGTGTGTGTTTGTGTAGTGTGTGTATATAATGAATGCAGAGTGTGTGTGTAGTGTGTGCATATAATGAATGCAGTGTGTGTGTGTATATGATGAATGCAGTGTGTGTGTTTGTGTAGTGTGTGTATATAATGAATGCAGAGTGTGTGTGTGTAGTGTGTGCATATAATGAATGCAGTGTGTGTATATGATGAATGCAGTGTGTGTATATAATGAATGCAGAGTGTGTGTGTGTAGTGTGTGTATATAATGAATGCAGAGTGTGTGTGTGTATATAATGAATGCAGAGTGTGTGTATATAATGAATGCAGAGTGTGTGTATATAATGAATGCAGAGCGGTGTGTAGTGTGTGTATATAATGAATGCAGTGTGTTTTGTGTAGTGTGTGTATATAAATGAATGCAGAGTGTTTGTGTAGTGTGTATATAATGGTAATGCAGAGTGTGTTTGTGTAGTGTGTATATAATGAATGCAGAGTGTGTGTGTATATAATGAATGCAGAGTGTGTGTGTAGTGTGTGTATATAATGAATGCAGAGTGTTTGTGTAGTGTATATATAGAATGCAGAGTGTGTGTGTGTAGTGTGTGTATATATAGAATGCAGAGGTGTGTGTGTGTGTGTATATAGAATGCAGAGTGTGTGTGTGTGTGTGTATAGTGTGTGTATATATAGAATGCAGAGTGTGTGTGTGTGTGTGTGTGTAGTGTGTATATATAGAATGCAGAGTGTGTGTGTGTGTGTGTGTGTAGTGTATGTATATATAGAATGCAGAGTGTGTGTGTGTAGTGTGTATATATAGAATGCAGAGTGTGTGTGTGTGTGTAGTGTATGTATATATAGAATGCAGAGTGTGTGTGTGTAGTGTGTATATATAGAATGCAGCGCGCGTGTGTGTGTGTATATATAATGAATGCAGAATGTGTGTTTGTGTAGTGTGTGTATGATGAATGCAGTGTATTTGTGTAGTGTGTGTGTTTCTGTAGGGGTGTAATTTGTGTAAAATGGGCAGGGGGGAAGGGGAGGCATTTTAATAGAATAAAAAAATTAAAATTGTTTTTTTAAATTCCCCTCTCCCTGCTTGTTACCTGGCCAGGGAGGGGGGCTATGGCATTCCCTGGTGGTCCGGTGGCATGGACTCTGCAGTGGGGGCCCAGCACGCGCTTAATTACCTTCCCAGCAGCACCCTTCAGCACCAATGTGTAAATCTCACGGCCAGTGTGCCTAGCACAGCGTTGCCATGGTAACCCGTGGCAACGCTCTGACGGCCGCGGGACTCGCGAGATTTACACAGTGGAGTTGAAGGGAGCTGCTGGGAAGGGAAGCAAGAGCTTGCTGGGGTCCCTCGGGTTTGTCATTGGCCTTGGTGGCCCTGGTATGTATTATCGGCAACTCTATAGGCCGATGCTGATATTGACGAAAATACTGAATATCGGCCAGACCGATAATCGGTTGATCCCTACCTGTTGGTGTGTGTTTGTACTTTTTTTCTTTTCTTTTTTTTTTTTTTTACACAATGGCTTATTTTTGAATAAAGTGTTTTCCACAGCCACAACCAAGGACCTAAACTTGACAAGATTACATGGGTGAACACATAAGAAAAAAAATTTAATATTTGGTATATTTACTTGTTGAACAGTTTATGTAAGACATAGCTCTAATTAACCTCATTTGGTGGTTGGCAGAGCAAGACATGAATTGTGGTCCACAACAGATTTAAATAGCAAATCACCATATTAACAAACCTATAAAAATACTTTACAAGGGCACTTCAACTAATACAGCCTTAAAGTATGAAAGTTTTGACTGACTGAGAGGAACTGGACATTAAAGAGACAGTAGTCCTCCAACCTAGTCTGTGTTATTGAGCCCTTATTGGCATTGCTTTCTATTTCTTTGTATATGTGCAATTTTGGTTGTGAGTTGGTTTTTAACGGTCCTTTTGTTCATTATGGCTTAAACTTATGTACTACACTATAATCACTTTCCATTTATTTTCAAATATGAGAATACCTCCATTTCAATTGAATGTTTTTAAAGTGATATCTGTATTTGCTGTTGATCCAAAAGAAGACAAAAAACAAAACAAAAAAAACACAGTTTGAAGTGCTTTCCAGATTAGAATGGCACTCATCTCTCCTTGGATCAAGAAGCTGTTCGTTTGACTTTACATTATAATATAGATAGTATGCCTATCATCTAAACACTAAAAAAAGTTTGTGAGACCTTGGTATGGTCCATCAAGCTTCAGCAAAAGTGAGGAGTTTCCTTTCACAATATTACCTTCACTTGCCACGGAAGAATTGGATGAAATGGCTCCCTGGCAAAGCATTTCCATTAGGTCCCTATTCAACATGCTTTGTCTACACATTCAGTCTAACCCTCTACACCAGGGGTTCTCAACCCTGTCCTCAAGGACCCCCTACCAATCCAGGATTTAGGGATTACCCGGGTGTGTAAGGTATTTAGAAAAAAAAAAACACCTTAGACTCTAAAAGGTGTCTCTCCCCCCTCCCCCCCTTTTTTCTAAACACCTCAGATACACCCAGATAATCCCTAAATCCTGGACTGGTTGAGAACCCCTGTTCTACACACTTTTCATCTACTTGTTCCAATTTATTTGTGAGTGTCAAACAAACATTAACATGATAAGAGAACAACTGATTTATATTGCTGTAGTGCAAAACAGAGACTGTATTTTACAACATAACTTACTTCCGTGACATGGATCTTAAGATCTTCTGACTTCTGCTTAAATTCTCATTTGTGTTAACCAACTTAAAAAAAAAAAAAAAAAAGGAAAGGTAATTCTTAACAGTCACCAGCATATCACATCATATGTTATGAAATCATTTCCCAAAAGAAGGTAACCCCCGAAACCTAACTCTCCTGTGCATTTGTACTAAGGTTACTTGTTATTCTCTATATATTAGCATTTCCTCTTTCCCACTATTTATCTGCCACTGGCAAAATTCCACTTGCTAATTATATTCACTTCTAAAACATATATATTCCTACTTATAGGGACACTCCAAACCTCTAAAGCACTTCAGCAGTTTTATGAACTGGGACAAGGGGGCAAGCTGATTTCAAAATAATGTAACACTCATGAGTAGATTATGAACATTTTGGGGACACTCCTCTGGTAGTTAAGGGAGGGCACAGAATTGATATCAGCCAGCCCAGAAGTCATGTTAATAGTGAAATACTGCACATACAACCTTCAAATCACTTAAGTGATTATGGTGCTTTAAGCCACTCTCTCAAATGCAACAAAGCACCAATAATTGAGCAACAACAACAGAAAGTCATCATTGTTGTGTTTTTTTTTAGTTTTTTTTTAAATATTCTTTATTTTGGTTGCGCTTTAATAAGTGTATAGACTGGTAAACACATGTCAGCAATTTCACCAATATATTACAGAAAAAGGAACTAAAATAGGAACAGTATGATGGAGCCCGCTAACTTATGTGTTATGTGTGATCGTGGTCAGGAGATGCTTCAAGAATAAAAAAAAAATCAATCACACGTGATACGAAGGTATATATAAAATCAGTTATTCCAGTCGCTTAAATATTGGTCAGCTTCAACTAGGGAGACACAAGGTGATGGTAGTCGTCTGGTAGAAAAGTATATAAGAAAAGGCGGTCATCTGTAAATCAATCTACGACAGCTTGCGGAGCCAGAAATAAAAAACAGGCTATAAAACAAATAGGGGGGCGGGTCCTGACTGTCATGGAGGGAAGATGTGCCATGCTGGAGCTCCTCACTATTCTCAGTTAATAAGGCATTTCTTGACCACAAACATCCCTAAACCGAGACCTTAAGCGACTTACCAGCCCTCATTCCTCACGGTGAACCGGTGATGCTGCCCATGAGCGGACAACTGACGGCCAGTTATACCCCGAGAGTGTGCGGCCCGGCGAGCGACAGATGGGAGAGGCGGCTGATCTCCCCGTCTGGAGCTACCTGATGACCGACCGCTATAAGCAGGCAACCCGCACCCCCCCCTCACCCCCCGGACCGGTGGGGGTAATCCCGGTCCACCCCTGGGGATCCTCCTCAACACGGCGGGTTAGCCGGAGAGATGAGAGGCACACCAAAGATGGTGGAGACTACGCGGTCCTCAGACAGACATGAGGTGCAACACGACCATGTGTCCAACCTGGACCGAATATTCCAAGACTTCTGTCTCAAGCTCAAGCACAGACTGCAACAGAGTGCCCTATTACCATCGGAAAGCAACTCACCCCGACAGCCTCCACCCGACCCTCAGCAACAACGAGCAGCTCCGGCTGGGAACAAGGCCACAAGATGGCGGCGGAGAGTCAAACACGCACATCTCCCACGCAAGGCAGCAAAACGGAGGGAACCAATGAGACCAAACACAAGACCTCCTCAAGGTCCCACCGCATCTGGGGTGACTATACCCCAGCCGCAAGGTCCAGCCAGCCGACCCCAAACACACCCGATCGATGCCGCACCGCAAAGCGGCACCACGGGCATCCGCAGCAGGGATCTACACAGCCACAACGCGGCATAGGGTGAACCACCCTGGGCGAATTGAGCCTCTGATTTCCTAACAGTAAGACCAGATGCGGCACCCTGAGCCACGCCGCGAACATGGGGGCATCATTTTCTGCTGGCCGGCTTGTTTGGAGAAGGACTCATGTTTGGGGGACCCTAGGGGACTTTATTATTTGGTTTACTCGTTGGCATTATTAATCTTAAATTCTATTAATTTTGTGTTTTACCATGTGAAAGCCTTAGGAGTGCGTTCATTCTACTAACCTAGGCGCATAATCTTTCCTCTCACACATACTCCACTTACGAATGTCTCAGCCTGCTTAACAAATAACAATAACTCGCCTTATAAATGCTATGCCACATGCATTTAACTCTATGCATAACCATTATTTTTATAAGCATATGTAGCCTACTACTATCACTACAGTTTACGAATGCAGCAATGCTAGTTATTCTCACTATATATAAAAAATGTGCTGTTTTTTCTGCCACGTTCTTGAATACTGCTGAAATGCTTACATTTGCTGTCGTGGCTCTGCAAGCTTGTATGTTATTTTATGCACAAGAAAAATAAAGAATTATAAAAAAATAAAAAAAACAAATGGTTAAATGACCACATCGGTCAGAGCACTGCCAAAAGGGGTCCACCTGGTATTCCCAGCTCTAGGAGTAAAGAAGGTGCATCTGAGAGGTGAGTGAGGAAGTGGGTCTTGCCATCCTTCTCCACAAAAAGCCTGTGCATTCCCCATTTGAAGGGATTGTGGCTGTGTAGATTGTCTCTTTTTAGTGCTCTTCAAAACACTTTCACATCATGTAGGCAGAATTAGAGGAGCTTTTCATGTCAATAGTTCCCTATATATATTTTGTCAAATCAGTCAAAAACAGTCTGACAAACCCAACATTTCTTGCACTCAGTCCAGGACTTTGGATTTGATTTAACATTGTATCATATATGGTGTGCAATGGTCTATTATGCTAAAAAGGTCTTTGCAAGACTAGCCCTTGTCCCTCTTTTTGGACATTCTGAATACATTATGGATACCCTCACTGAAGAAATGGTGTTGTCTATTTACAGCTGAGAACGGAGAGGCAGAGTTCTTTCTCCTGAACCTGAGAAACTGGAGTTCCCATTTTGGCCAACATTATGATTTCTCTCTACATTCAGTCTAATCATCTAAACACATTTCACCAGCATGTTCCATTTATTTGTGGGATTAGTTAGATCAGTGTCCCCTTGGACGGGCTGTTTAGAAGGGGGGCTGGCAGAGAGCTGTAACTTACCTTTCCTGCAGCTCTTGTCAGCTCCCTTCTCTCTCCTCCGGTCAGCTCCCCTGTAAGTCTCGCGAGAGCCGCAGGGTCAGAGCGTTGCCACGGGTTACCGTGGCAATGCTCCACGCGGCACTCAGACCGCGAGACTTACAGGGGAGCTGACCGGACCGGAGGAGAGAGAAGGGAGCTGACAAGAGCTGCAGGAAAGGTAAGTTACAGCTCTCTGCCAGCCCCCCTTCTAAACAGCCCATCCACTGGACCACCAGGGAATGAGAGCCCCCCCCCAACCCCCCCAGCCAGCTAATAAGCAGGGAGGGGGGACGAAAAAAATATAAATAAAAATTTAAATAATAATAAAATAATAATATATATATAAAAAAATAAAATAATAATTAAATTTTTTTATAAATATTCCCACCACCCCCCCCCAAGGCTCTGCATCGCATCACACAAACACACACACTGCACTCATTATATACACACACTGTAAATAAATATTCAATTAATATAATTTTTGGGGATATAATTTTATTTAGAAATTTACCAGTAGCTGCTGCATTTCCCACCCTAGTCTTATACTCGAGTCAATAAGTTTTCCCAGTTTTTGGGTGTAAAATTAGGGGTCTCGACTTATATTCGGGTCAACTTATACTCGAGTATATACGGTAAGTGAATTCTATATAGCTACTCACGAAGGAAGGCTCTAGTCCCCAGTAACTTACTCTTCCTTTTGTGCGGTCCAATTGTTCCCTCTGCTGGCCAAGTTCCTCAATGATATCTGTGCCAATGGCATCCGTTTCTGCTGCTAAGTGGTGGGATCTTGCAATACTGTCCGAGGTTCGGATTAAACTCTGTGTGCCTTGAATGAGCAGTGCTCTTTGGGTCTTCAATGGGGTCTGTAAAAGAATCAGATCTGTGAATAATAAACTTCATCCAACGTCATTCTTATTAAATGGATTTTGGTACAAGTGCAGTACTGGACAGATAAATGTGTTTTATATAATGAAATCTCTACAGATTCTCAAAATCTATACAAAGGGTCTGCAACATAAACACCCAAAGACAGCCCTGAAGGTGTTGAGAAATCGTCATTTAGAATTAGATTGTAAGCTTGCAGGCACACATCTGAAAACCTACTGTCCCAAGTTGTGTATCAAGCTATGTCTTTACTTGCTGAACGGAGAGGTTTGTAGGCACTGTGAATATAAACATTACAAAATATATACTAACCATTCGCAATATGATTTTCAGTATCAGATGTGTCAAACTTAGAAATGAAATGAAAAAAAAACGTGCGCTTTTGAAGAAATTTTTTTTAAAATCAATAAACATCAATTTCTCTTATAAAAGAGCGATAATGGGATTGGAGCGGCACTGGAATGAAGGTGAGTTTAACACCTTTTTAAATGCAGACAATACGGGGCACAACACCTATAAAATATGGGATATTTTGTGCTTGTGTTGCGCATTCTGCAAACATTTCAAATAACAAAAAGTATATTTTACCATTCAAGGTTGTGTTTAAGGGCTGAAATTGTTAGGCATATAAATGAGGGGAAAAAATTAAACTTAACTAGATGAATACTCACAATAGTCTCATTTTCTATGTTGTAAGCTCCGTGACTATAATCCTCAGAAATAGTTACTTTTGCTTCTGTTTGCAGTTTAACAAGGTCTTTTTTATAGGTCCGCAGCTTGCTCATCATTTCATGTCGAAAAGATGGTGGGGCGTATTTCAATTCCTCTTCCATTTCCACAAGCTGGAAAATATAGACGCAAACAAAACAAATCTAGTATTGAGTAGAACACGGAGGCTATAAAATGCAAGACGTCTAGTTCATCTGTACAAAAGAGAATAACTGTTCTTCATTAAATCAGTAGTAGAGGGGATGGAACGGTAAGTTACCATTAGGGGCATCCAAGATTGTCATCAAACAATCCAAAAAGGTCAGGGAAGGCAGCTCAAATAAAAATGACAAAGGGCACAAGAAAAGAAGAAAAACAAAAAAGCATACAACACCCACAAGAGAGTAAGCTTGTAGATCCAGATAAGTAATGATTTATGATACACAGGTATGACAAGAACATTCTTTTTGATGAATACATAGTTTTTTCATAAATTGACTTACTAGCAGATGGTCTGCCATGGACATACAAGCTTTTTCATGGTTTCTTTTAGCAGAATGTTTAAGTTAGATCAGGGGTGCCCAGGCCAACTCCTTGGTTTTGCACCCCTCTGTTACAGGTGTCTCATTCCAGGACCCTATTTAGCCTTGACTTGCAGAGAGTCCCAGTAAGGAAGTATTCCCCAAGTAAGTGGATTAATCTTATAAGAGCAAACATTAGGCTGCTACTAGGATAGGACCTGCCGAATATGGGGTACTTTGACGTAGTTGGCAGGCTTATGCAATGTATGATCATATAATGTAACTAAACCCCCATCATTGTTTGCCTAGGTGAAAGATTAGATGAGACTCACCATTTCATTTGCTTCCTGTTGCTTTTCATCAAACTCGCGCAAAAGCCTTTTCTTCTCCTCTGCAAAGAATAAAAAATAAAAAGATTAAAAAAAAAACAAAAAACAACTAAGAAAACTGTCACCAAACAGTAATCATGACTTTTTAAAAAAAAGCAGCTGAACTTGGGTTCAATATTAAAAGTTGTTGGACAAGCACTCATTTTTCTCTTCTAAAAATTAAAGGAAATCCTACATTAGTTTTTCACATTCATTCTTCATCCAGTAATGACAATTTCCATATCTGATAGGCTCATCAAAAATGTTTAGTTTGTAGTGGTGCAAGTGAAATAAAACACGTTCTAAATGAGCACATGGGTGAATACTCCTGTGATGCTGTCTTTTGCCTCTTCGACCAAGGGCTGTAAAAAGAAACCTGTATTGTCGGTATAGTATGTCACCATGTATGTGCAGTTCCTACGAAGCCTTGACAAAAAAAATGTTTTTAATATATAAGGTGTTCCGTAAAGACAAGCTAACAGTCACAGTTGTAGGTTGTCAAATATACAGCATTATTGGCAAAGGGCTTATAATACCTCAATAATGATAGATTAGGTAGCTAACTGTGCCAAATATTAAAGCCATAGCCAGTCCAGGAGGTGGGAGGATCTGGGAGGGAGGGTCTGCTGCTGATTGGCTGGAATGTGTCTGCTGACTGTGAGGTACAAGGTCAAAGTTTACTCAATGATGAGTCCGCGGCGAACCGTTCGGGACATCACTATTAGACTCCCCTTTAGATTTTTTCTATAAAGTGTAGATTAAAGTTCTCTTGCCATCTTTATGGAGATTACCATGATGGCGTGCGTTTCTCAAAGCCTACTATATTTTTCTTTAGTTGTATAAGAAATGAGCTTCCTCGCTGAAGTCTCCTTACTAAGGATTCAGAGTAAGCAACGGTTTATTCCTTGATTAAATTATAATGCTGCTAGTTTATCACAGTCTAACAAATTAGGTCAGAGATTCCCACATTTTTGAAGTCGAACAATATTCATTGTCCTTTTACTCTGACTTATTTAGATCCACATTATTATGGACATGGGATCTCCACCTGCTTGGGGTTCTCCAGCATCGGTTGTAACAAACATCACCCCATTTGAGCCTGCTGGGGAACTTTATACTTGAACTGCTCGGCCTGTTGACGGAAACAATGGGCTTCTTCTCCAGTGTTGCTAAGGTTTTTAGTTTCTGTTGGTTTATTTTGCTTTCTACTGTGATAGCTGACTGGGATTTAGGGTTTAAATGGCATTGTAGCTGTGACAAACTCCCCTTTTTAAGGGAGTTTGCCATGCGTTCTTGGAGGGGACTACTTGCCAGCCAATTGCTCTGTGACTATGGCCCCTTTAATTTACTGTGATTAAATATACTATTTGTGCCTATTGGGACGTGGCACAATGCCTCTTTAAACTTTCGAAGTGGAACTTCTAACCACCGAACCACACACACACACGTGGAGTGTGCAGCCTATTTACCTCCCAGGCTGGTAGTTAACCGCAGCCAAATTGACAAACGGCTGGGTGGTCGCCATTCATATAGTCGAACACGTGACGGCGGCCATCTTGTTTAGTCGACCGTGTTCAGTGGTGTTGTCATCGAGTTCATGGAACTCAAATCGGACACGCGATGGCATGAACGCCGCTGAACTTTACCTTCTCCGGGAGTCGAACGGTGTTCGACAATTCGAACAGCACTTTAAGATATGTTGTTCACCCAGATCAGGGCTATCCAGGGATGTATAATTTATGGGGATATGTTGGATTTTGGGGTGTTTCTGTACTTTGGGTAAAAATGTGTATTTTCTGTCTGTGGATAATTAAGTTAGTACATTAGCTACCTTCATTATATCACAGGCATAGGGAAGGGATTGCTGACTGGATGTGGGAGTGTTACAGTGCTAATTATTGTTCCCATTGGTTTATGTTCCTTTTGTCCCTGTTTTCCATCAGGTCCAGGGGGTGTGCCTCTGGCCTGACAAATTGTATATATTCCAGGCTGTGGCAATAAACCGTCTGTTCTACTTCACCCTCAATCTAGAGTCCTGTCTCTTATTGGGGGAAACTGCTACAAGGGATTGCTATGCTCATCATACTCCCTTGAATAATCACTAGCTCTTGTAAGAGCTGTTCCTGCTTCACTCTCTGGGGAAAGAGGTTCACCCACTGGAACCTGGAGCCTATTCGTAGGTCCAGGGTGGGTAGGAGATGGCGACACCCCAACCAAGCTGCGGTGGTTCAAGGAGTCTGCAATGCTTATGGTGTCTAGTGGAGTGATTGGAGCCCTCGAGAAGCACTAGGAGCATCTGTCAACGGAGGTACCCAGTCGGGTGCCAGATGATCCGTTACAGTAGCAGATATTGTTTAAGCCACAAACCAGTCAGCAGAGTTTTCTCTGATGATTTTAAGTCCCCTACCACACTCCACATTATATGATGCTATACAGCAGTACCAAGACAGCTATCATTGTCTATAGATAAAAAAAAAAATTCCTCATGTTATATATTCAATATTATATCTGCATTCATACCGTATTTCACCGCATAATAGTCGCACCCTGGTTTTGTAGTCCAAAAATTGGTTCAAATTCAATTCATCACGTAATAGTCGCATAATTGACCATTGCGGATTTTGTTGTTATTCTTCAAAACTGATGGTGAACATCCTTCTGATTTTAGACGGAAGAGAGAGTTTATGACCTATCAGCTTATTGTATTTTAGTGCTTTTTATCTCTATAATGCATTAGACATTAAAGGAGGACGGGGATCAGGATCAGAGTTTACGTAACGCATTAAAAAATATGCTATGTTATTAGCAGCTATAACTTCTAGAGAATTTTCCAAATAATGAATGGTATTGGCCTCTTTAATGAGCGATATCTTCACCTCTTGGAAACCACAAGCACTGTCTTGAAGGTTCTACATGCCTCAAGACTGATTACATGGCTAACAGTGTGGCCTCCAATTTGAACATATAAGTCTTCAGGGAGCATTAGAAGAGGTCAAGGGACAACAGTAGGTAAGTTTACATAATGATTGGTGAGCTCAGTGAGTGACTACTAAGCATGACTGCTTCTCCTAGCATTAGAGAGAATCCGACTGGGGATTAAATGAACAATCATGTTTTCTGGTTGATATCCTAATAGTAAGTAGTGGATGGGAGAAGTCAATAATTAATTGCAGGAGAAAGAACTCATTTAGTTATCTGCTAACACTTTAAAACAAAAAATACAGGAGTTTTTTTAATGACAGTTTCATAAATGGTCTTGTCCTCGGTATATACACAGAACCAAATGCAAATAAGACATGTCCACCGTCAGAATTCCAAGTTTTAAAACTGAAATGCCCATGTTACAAATATGACCGTACAACATGGAAAACAAGACAGATATTTTGGCATTCATGGATCTACTTGAACACACATCTTGGGATATTACTAAAAATAGAATATGTGAGGTTTATGAAAAAACGACTGCATTAAAAGTTTCAAAAATACCTAGGTGAAAACTGCAGATTATATAAGTCACAAATCGTCTAATTTCCAATTTTCTCAATTCCTGCACTCAATCATCCAGCTATGCTAAATGCTCAAATCACACATCTTATGAATTTATTTGCTTAACAGAAAGGGTTATTCATTTGTCATAAAATGTGAATTTCAAAAATTATAGACTAAATTAGCCAAATTGAAAGAATAGCACAAGAGTTGTTTTCAGTCGAGCCATTTTAGTGTAAAATATGAAATCCCAAACAATTCCCACTTGAGGGGGTTGATTCACTAAACTTCAAAATTGGAGTAAGCATGTCTAAATGGCAAAAAAAATTCAGGCAGAAAATAAAAATAAAATCCAAAATGTTTATTTATAGCCAAGTTAGAGAATTTCCCACAGCAGCTACTTCTGCCTAACAACTCAGTTGGGATTTAACTAAATAAACCCCTTTAATGAATATACCTTTAAGAAATAAGCAGCACTGCAAAGGGAATAACAAAAGTAAAAGCAAACAGCAGAGATCTAGTTTATATTACATTACAAAGCATTACATTCTGTAAAACATTTGCAACCTCCCTGGGTAATTATCCATTATTTGTATGATTTAAGGAACAAATCCAGTTATTGTTCTCTCCCTCTCCCTTTTTCACAGACGTCAACATACTAAATAAATAATTAAGATATTCAGATATAGCAATTGTTTAATTATTCCCATTTTCTACATTCACCTCCACGGCAGCTCTGCAGCATGGGAGGGATCCTCCGTAAACTGCCATAGAAATCTTTATACAGTTCGTGGAGCTTTTCAAACTGCTCAGATGACATGTTTCCCCCTAGCAGTGCTCAAACACAGAGCCCAGTCTGCTGATTGTCCACAGGCCTGCCTCCACCTCCAGCTACTTCCTGCTCCCGAGGACCCACGGACCTGCTTTAGGTGTCCAGCGCGCCTGCTGGCTAGCATTTTCACCTTAGGAGTTTCTGTAATATTTTGCCAGACACACACACAAAAAAAACCCCACAATTCACCACAATCACTTATTATTTATATGTAGTGGTGTTATTTCCTAATTTCTTTGATTTAAACAGGCACTTAAAGGGACAGGAACTGCTATATCTATAGATTATTGAATGCAAAGAGAATGAGGATGGAGTCATGCATGTCATCTCCATAAATAATATGCTTTATATATTCTCTCTCAGATACATTATATATATATATATATATGTATGTCTGGTGACGCAGGACTTCCTGCTGGCCCGATTTGGTCAATCCCTATTTCAGCGTCCTTATTTATTTATAACAGTAATCCATAAAGCAACAACATATTCTACAGCGCTGTACAATTGGGGGAAAAGACAGTACAATATAAACAGAACAATACAAAAGGTAGAGGGTCTTACAACGGGAGCTTACAATCTAAAGGTTAAAAGGGGGAGATGAGACAGCAAAGGAATTTCTAGGTGATGGCAGGGAGAATTAATAGTATAATTGCAGTAACTGATAACATGTGAAGGGGATGGGAAGCTGATTGACAAATTCCAGCTGAGTAGAAATAAAGTGGCCCTGTTTAAGTTGGATTGTGGAATTCTAGAGATTTAACCACCATTTTGAAAAGAAGAAAAAATCGTAGCATCATTAGATGCATTTTGTTCCAAGCTCAAAGCACTAGAACCATGCACATAGTGCTTTCTGCATGTTGCACACTTAGTGCGTCAGGCTGCTTCATTGGCAGTCAGGCTGGTGTGCATTCTTGGCTGACCTGCCTTATCATTTCGGAACTGCCCCTTTTCAATGGACACAGACTCCCAAAAAAACATTAAAGGACCACTATAGTGCCAGGAAAACAAACTCGTTTTTTTTGGCACTACAGGGTCATTAGGTCCTCCCCACTCTCAGGGCACCCCCTCCCGCTGGGCTGAAGGGATTTAAAACCCCTTCAGCCACTTACCTTTCTCCTGTGCCAGGCTCCCTCTGTGCTGTGGAACTCTCCTCCCTCTGCCGACGTCAGCTCCGAACGTGCATGCAGCACGCATTCAAACAGCCCATAGGAAAGCATTACTCAATGCTTTCCTATGGACGTCCTGCGTCTTCTCACTGTGATTTTCACAGTGAGAATTGCAGAAGCGCCTCTAGCTGGATTAACCATCAGTGAAACATAGCAGTTTCAGAGAAACTGCTATGTTTTCAGCTGCAGGGTTAAAACTAGAGGGACCTGGCACCTAGACCACTTCATTGAGCTGAAGTGGTCTGGGTGCCTATAGTGGTCCTTTAATGTCAAAATGAGCCGGTCTTTTCCTGCCCACAGAAGAAGTGTGTCATCCTGCAGGCTGGTCCTACACTCAGAACACAATGCAGATGGGGTTGCTGAAGCACCTTCTTTATAGACCTAGTGCACTTAGCACATCATGTCCAATGATTGCGCTCAGGCCATGCTAGCTAGGGACAGTTCCCTGGTGTCTCCAGATGCAGGACACCAGAGAACCAACCCAGGATGGCACAACAATTGTGAGGCTTGCACTTTTCATTTGCTTTCATCAGCTTGAAGAAGTGATGTGTGTTCAGGAAAACATGGTGGATATGCTTTGGTCCCGGATCTGGCAGGACCATCCGAGTTGCAATATCCTTTACATCTCTGGTTGGACTCCAATGAACTGTCCCCAGCGAAGGCAACAGTTCATTAAATGTACTGTGCTAAATGGTATCAGGACACCATGACCCTGCACAGAGCTGGTTTCTGGTGTGTAGGCCGCCATGTTCCGTTTAAGATAGACCTCAAATCAAAGAGGTCAATTACAAGGCAGTCAAGCCCCTTGTAATTGACCTTTTCAATCTTGATCAGATTTTAACAATTCTGTATGTAAGCAACAACCACTTAAATTATTTCAAGCAAGGCTGTCACATTTATGCACAGCCCAACAGCTGTCTGGCAGGATTGTTCACTAAAGTCTAAATTACTGTGAATTCAAACAAAATTTAGGCCACAGCAGCTAAAGCTGAAGATTTCTCCAAGACAGCAATGATTTCAGTTCAATTATTTTAAACTTTAAATTTTAATTTCTCTTCAGTGAATAACCCTGACAATGCATGTGTGTATGTGGATAGTGGGTTACACCGATTGCTTTCTGCACTCACTGTAGCAGTGTTTCTGACAGTTCCGATTTAGGGTACCCTACATCCAGGGAAACTAGGGAGCTATCGCCAGGCAGCACAGTACGAGCAAACCATTAGACACACTTGCGCTGTGCAGCAGGCTCTAGGACAGTGATGGCGAATCTATGGCACGCGTGGCACAGGTGGCACGCCGGGCCCTTCCTGTGGGCATTGTGCCAGCTCAAAACGACAGGTGCCTACTCTGCTTTCTTGCCGGGAGAACCTGAAGCAGCGAGAGGGACATAGGAAGCAGCTCTCCTGTCCTCCTGTGAGCAATCTGTGTGGAGAGTTGCTGCACTTTACAATGGCAACGCTCCACACAGCATCTCGCAGGAGGACAGGAGAGCTGCAGGACCTGTCACGTACTTACTACCAGCGGACCACCAGGGATGGTTGTGTGTCCCCCCTTCACCAAAGGTAAGAAGAAGGGAGGGGGGATACAGATTTAATACATATTTTTTTAATTTATTTTTTATGTATCTTTACCTTACCCTCCCCCACACAGCCCCCTTTACAGCACTCCTACACACAGCACCCCTACCCCACACACAGCACCCCTACCCCCACACACAGCACCCCTACCCCCCACACACAGCACCCTACCCCCCACACACAGCACCCCTACCCCCCCACACACACACACTCCACTCCACACCCTTACACACAAATACTGCACCCCTCAAAGCAGTATGTGTGTGTGCATTCAGCAGCCTGTATGTATTCAGCAGTTTGTATGTGCGTGTAATCAGCAGTCTGTGTGTGTATGTATTCAGCAGACTGTGTATGTATTGAAAAACCAAAGAAAAAAGTTATCTGCGCTCTTTCCACATCCCTATGTATTTTTAAACAAATGGAGGTTTTTAGTTACCTCCAATGGCCATGAGAGGGTATGCCCACCTGCCATGTCAAGGCAGACCTCTTAGGTGGGTCCTAACTCTAAACATTCGCCTTGCTTCCTTGAGCTTCTGGCAAAAATATCTCTAGTGAGACAGAAAGGGGTATTTTTATATACATCCCTACATGCTTATTAACCCTTAATAGGGAACACATGGGATGGGCAGCAGCATTGCAACCTAGCTGTGTGATACAAAAGTGAATATAAATACAAAGAAACTAGTCCTGCGCTCAAACTCCCATTACTCCTGGGCGACAGCAATGACCATAGTACACATCAGCCAAAATACATATAGTAAAAACCAAAGAAAAAAAGTTACCTGCGCTCTTTCCACATCCCTATGTATTTTTAAACTAATGGAGGATTTTAGTTACCTCCAATGGCCATGAGAGGGTATGCCCACCTGCCACGTCAAGGCAGACCTCTGTATTGAGCATTCTGTGTACTCAGTAGTGTGTGTATTCAGCAGTCTGTGTGTACTCAGCAGGCTGTGTGTGTGTATTCAGCAATGTGTGTATTCAGCGGACTTTGTGTGTGTATTCAGCGGATTGTGCGTGTATTTAGCAGACTGTGTGTGTATTTAGCAGTTTGTGTGTATGTATTGCATTTGTTGGAGATACTAATAAATATAAGCTTAATTTTATCTATTTATATAATTATTTAAAATTTGTGTCATTGAACCCTCTGTTGTTGTGTTCTTTTTTTAAATCAAAAGTTGTTAATTAGTTCGGACAACTGTACGAGTTGTTTTTTTCTAAACTTAAACCTCAGTATTCCGGTTTAATTGCCATGTTGGCACTTTGAGGAAAACAAAGTTGGCATGTATTGCGGTTTGGACACTCGGGCTCAAAAAGGTTCGCCATCACTGCTCTAGGATCATGCAGACAGCACTTCCGCATTTTCCTAGCTGTCCGGAAGCTGTCTGTTAGCCTTGCATGTTTGAGACCAGGCTGACATGCCCATTCAGTGGGTGGATATGCACACTTTACAGGTAAGGCACACATTATGGGTGTCAGCAGTAATGCCCCCTTCCTCCCATCGCGATTACATAGCTCCCAATATTAAGGGTATGCTGTAGATGGGTTTTACATTTGGTGCTGGAAACATTGAATGATACACCCCCATTTTGAGCAGGCCACCCACTTACTCAGTCACAAAACATCAGTGTTTCAGATGGGCCCAAATCTTGTCATCACCATCTTTCTGGCTCTCTCAGCTTGGTAACATTGAGAGGTATAGAACTGGCAAGAATAGCTGGGCAATGTGTCATGAACATCAATGTAGTTACATATGAAAAGGGGAATCTCACCTCTAGTAAATATGGTGGTCTCTGCGCTTTGCTTTTACTTGTGCTTTTTTCATTTCCAAATGGATTTAATTAAAAAAAATTGCATTTTATGCCAGATTGTCATAATATGAGTGCACCTACAGCATCATGGGGAAAAGACTTTACCTAGGACGTCAGCACGCCTGGGTCACAGAAGTGATGTGTACTATTAAAAAAATATAACAGGGTGAGTGGGCCTAAGCCTCATGGAAGCCAGATGCTTTTACGCGGCTCCTTACTTGGCTTTTGTATTTCACAAGAAATTCAACAAGGTTCCAGTAAGGCCTGGTGCAATGGACGGACCGGAGAGGAGGCTACTCTCACGACCCAAGAAGCATTAACCACTCGCATCACTACTCTGTTGCCGCACCACCCCCACGGACCGACAGGGGTTATCCCGGAACCACTGACTTGAACTACGTATATATGCTGATCCAAGACAGCTGCCACTGTATACGCTAAGACCACAGCTAAATTTCTTAAGATGGCGGATGTGTTTCCCACACATGGGCACAAGCTGACTCTGCCCAAGAACTTTCAGCATGACTGTGCTGAGCAAACACTGAAAGGACTGTGGTAGTTTGGAAGTCTAGAGCCAGGGAGTGAAGGGGCCTCCTCTGGGAAAAGCATACTCTCAAGCACGTGTCTCCCAACATAAGCCCGTTCAGGCTGAGGGCCGTTAGGGGCTTGACCCCGTTGCATCACCCTCACAGACAGAAAACCTACTGCTGCCAGCTGCGACAGACCACCAGGACCTTCTGCTAATTCCCAACAGAAAGGGACTTTCACTCTTAGAGCCCCTGAGAGGTTTGACGATGCTTGCCCTGATTTAGACCTGGGGCTGGAGGAATGTCCTACCTCTCTCCTATCTTGCTGCTCTCTTCAGCAGACTTCATGCTAATATCCTGTGTTTCCCTAAGCTGGGCACTGGCTGAACATGGACTTACCACCCTAAGCAATACACCTGTTCCTATTAAATGTTTCCCTAATACTAGTAGACACCACCTCTCGCTTATATGCCCTTAATTGCCAATCTTTGCAGAGATCTCTCTTTGTTTTATTTAGTCTTATATTAATTTTTACCTTATGTGGCAACGCATCAGTGATTCAAGTTTCAGTGGTCTTTCTTCTCATGTTTATTTAGCATGTTATACAGCATTATTACTCAGTTACATGCTATTTTATATGTTATACAAGCTTAGCCTCCGCTTCAAATTTAGACATGCATGCCTTTCCTGATCTTACTTGTTATTCTTTAAAAAAAAATTTTTAAATAAATAAAGTGGTATTGCTAAACGATTATGGTTTTGAATCTTTCGATGCATGTAATAACCTTCTATATACCTCAACAATGAAAACAAATTAACAAAAAAAGGGGAATATTCCAAGCACCATAACCACTACATCTCTGCATTAGCTGTAAGTCCTCCTTCTAAGTTAAGCCTGGCAGTACAGGGCGTCAGTCATTAGCTGATAGCGATTATGTGATGCTCTCCTGCGTAAGATCTTCTGTCTCTTCAGTGATAGTAGGGTAGGTGGAGCGCGGAACCTGGCGATTCCCAGGTAGAAGTCAAACAATTCTAATGTGGTTTGACACATTATAACGAAGTAGTGCCAGTAGTGCAATCTGCAGTGGTTATGGTTTTGGACTGTTCATTTAATTAAGTGCTAATGTTGTGGTAGAATAATGTTGACTGGGGTGAGGTCTACTTTAACAATAATACTGATTAAGTAATTCAATATTCTGTTATGAATATAAAAAGCTTTTATTGAATGCAACCCAGTATGAGAATATTTATTATTTCAGGGAATCAGCAGATGAAAATGTTCTGGTAGATGGTATATGGAAGAAGAGAACATGTTGCTTGGTGTTGTTTGTAGGAGAAAACAGAGAACACGCTGTTTGATAGTAGGCAGCACAAGATGCTCTGTTTGTTAGTACACAGCAGGGACGGTGGCAGAGGCTATCTGCTGGTTGGTAGATGTTCTGTTTTCTGGTGGTATTCAAGAGGGAGCACTCTGCTTCTATTCCTGCCATTCAGAGTTCACGTAAGATAGACCACTGATATGATGGTCATCACATGAGGAGATGTTATCTTTCATGAAAGAGTGATTTAACTCCACTGTGCTTGTATCATAATCTGATGTCTATAACAAGAAGTAAGATTTAATAAGTACAGCATGATATATCTGCTTCTTACATAGAAATTAAAATCTACACTACACAAGTAGCGGCTGGAGAGAAATTCCACGAGGCTATGATTAATGGAATCCTCTCATGGTAAGTGGATACTGGTGGACTTTCTTTACTTTAAATAGCAAATTTAAAGAAATGTGCAGTTCAAATTAATCTAAACAGTAATGACAGTGGGCAAAGACTTGATTTATAATTGCGCTCAGTTTTCTTTTTTTTAGTGGTGGAATTATCTTAATACCAATAGATTCTAATGTGCTGGCACTCTCCACAAGGTGGTGCAGTTATTAGGGGTCACTCGCAAACAAACCCCGCAAAAATATAAACAACCTAATAAATATTAATACTGCACTCTGACACACGAAGTGTGTCTAATAAAGGCAAAAAGTATCTGAATTAGGAAAAATTTAATCAAGTGGTTCAAAATCATATATCAAAAATTGTCACATACAAAATGGTTCAAAAACCACAAAAGACCTCCACATGTGGTACAACCTTTTAATAAACATTCATCTTATGTACACATCTCATATGTATGTCTCTACTATATTGTTAATACCAATTTACAAGCCTGGTGGATCCACCAATTTACAATATGCTATTAGATAGCAAATACCCACTCTCTCATTAGAGTTAATAAATGCCTAGCAGTCTGATCAGACCATAAATCTATTTACAAGACAGCAAAAAAATAAGTCAGAAATATTTTTTTTCAGATACGTTAAAAATAAAAATTGTATCACAGTCTCCCAGTGAAAAAATGATTTTGGAATGGACAAAAAATGGTTAGATCTCAACAAAGAATGTTCAAATTGCTGGATGTGCCATATGGAGATAAGTCTTTCTCTGCAGTCGAGAATATGGTAAATATTTTCTTTCCTCTGTAGCTGGTAGCTATTTCCTCCCTATGCAGCTGGTAGCAAGATGTGCATAGGTGGATGGTATCGGTATCACAGTCTCTGTTCTGTTTGTAGCAATCTGGGCTGCGTGCTCGGGACTCTGGCGTCCCTTCGAAGGCCCTGCTAGATGAACCGAAATCCTGAGTATATATACCATATACAGTTAATGGCGACGGCCATTCACGTGTTTTACTTGGCCCGCCCCCACTGCGATTACATGGGAACGCGGCGACGCCTACCACGGCATCACGACGTCTCACATGATGACATCAATAAAACAACTTTATTTGTAAATTACAAACCAGTAAAAGACAATCTTTGGAAATCTGCCTGTCTGTATACACTGCATATAATAACAAAAGTGCAAATTTCTATACACAAGAAATCTTTGTGGTAATACTGGTTCCAAAGGGGAAATATGACACCTACTCATAGCTAAGGATATGTAAAAAAAACAGGCATGATATATTGATTTATGTTTCACATAGCTAGCTCAAATTGAGATTTAAATACAAATTACCCATCAATTAACATGTCTGCAATAAAAAAGAAGTTAAGGTACATCATGTTATTTGTAGAATCCTAAGAGTGTCGCTTGATTGTTTCAAACCTGTCGAGTTATCAAGGGGATTTAAACAAAAAAATCTAAAAATATTACAAAGTCCCCCAAAAAATAAATTAAAAAAAATAGTAAATAAAAAATAGTAAATAAGAGATAAGAACAATAAGTCTGCTTACCAGTGTTCTCCTAAAATGTATATCGGTGTTCTATGCGAGGGCCCCCGGTTTGCGACAGGTAGCGGACCTATGTCGGTCAAATTGTTGCAACGCCAGAGATTCGGACCAAACTGGTCTAAAAGGTTTACTTTTGGGAGAACAAATTAGGACACCCACCTGTCATACCAGGTATCCAGAGGGTGTTATAAAAAGTGTCATAAGAAATGTTTTAAATCATAATCCTCATTGGGTACTGATGGTTATAAAGTCTCAAAGGTGCTGATCCATTTGGTCTCTCTTTGTAATGGGAGTTTCTGTCTGTCACCTCCTCTCCTCAACGGGGGCACTCTATCAATCACCGGGAACCTCAGTTGGTTAACATTATGGCCATGGGACTTGAAGTGCCTGAGTACCGGTGCTTCCCACACTCCTCGCTGTAATGCCATCCTAATACTCCTTTTGTGCTCACCTATTTTTTCTTCAACGGGTCTAATAGTCTCCCCCACATACATACTCACAGGGACACTTCAAGAGATACACAGCAAAACCTGAATTACAAATATAATATCCATTGACCCTGTATTTCTTACCAGAAAATGGGTGAACAAAAAAATTCCCCCTTGATCACACTGCTGCAATGTGAACAACCTAGGCAAGGAAAGGTGCCATTTTTTGGTTCAGACAAGATTTCGAACCACTGGAAAATTACTTACTGATTAAATTTTGCACAATTCAGATACTTTTTGCCTTCATTAGACACACGTGTGTCAGAGTGCGGTATTAATATTAGGTTATTGAGTTATTATCTTAGCATGTAAATATAAATGTAACGATATTGCTTTGTTTAGGCTAACATTTGTCTACTTACTGCGATTGGAAGGAATGGAGGGCTCACTTTACACTCCTCTAGATCTCCCCACTTAATGTCTCTATAGAAAGGGTGGCGCACCTGTGGGTCCTTATCTAGAAGCTAGTAAGAGAGTCAGGAAATACAATGAGTATTAAACTTTCCTAAACTTTGATCTCTATGTTAATATATTGGTTATGTATTATTACCTTTACCACCAACCTTTTTTTTTCTTCATATCTTTTTCAATCTATAAATATTTACCATTGTATTAATAACGGTGCTAGTAGCAACTAATCTACTTTTTTAGCAGACCTCAAATGTAGCAAAAGTAACCCATACTCCAATAAATGTAACTAACAGCTAATTCCTGTAACAACCTGTTCCTTACCTTATCCAGGATGTCTCTAATTTCACCAGTCAGCCAGGCAGGGTAGTGGTGGTGCTTTTAACACCTGCTTTACATATGTTAATAGCTTGACCTTGTCATTAAAAGGGAATTTCCCATATGCACGCCATATTCATTGTTCATGAGTACCTGGCAAAAAGACACAGGGTAAGAAATTTGATAAATACTACATTTAAGAGTAAATGCTCATCAGATTTCTAATTATTATTATCCATAAAGCGCCAACAAATTCCATACTGCTGTACAATAGATTTCCAATTAGACGTATTATCATCAGGGGCTTTATACTAAGTCCATCTTAGTCTGTCCTACAGTTTTTACACATAAGCTCCAATATTATATTCAAAACGGACGTACAGATTTAGTTCCTCTCACAGCTCCCTCTAACGCTTCCCACTACTACCACTATTGATATAATAATCCCTTTAACATCTCATGCTATTATTTCTGTAACAGCCTATTGCCCCTGTGGCTTCCATAATCAATTTTGAAAGCAATACTGCAACTATGAGAATCCCATAGTTTGTTCCCTCCTGTTTTCACAATCAATCCTTATAATTCCTGCTATTACTGTTTTTATGACCACTTCCTTTACACCTCCTAATACTGTACCTAACCGCTCCCTCTAACAGTCCCCCTACTGGTCCTAAAACAGTTCCCTGTTACCAACCTCTGGTGCCATATTTACAGGTGTTCCAACTCGCTCCCTGATCTTTTTATCACCCAGGATGTTCTCTGCTGCAAGGCCAAAGTCAGCTATTTTCACATGGCCTTCTCTAGTCAGGAGAATATTCTCTGGCTTCAGATCACTACATAATGAAGCGAAAGAATACGCGAGATAATGGAGAAAACAGATTTAAATGTGATATTTCTAATGAGCATGAATTAAATTTTTCTAAATAATCAGAAGCTAATACTGACCGATGTATAATGCCATGGGAATATAGATATTGGATTCCACAGATTATCTCCCCTAAGATGAATCCGATGAAAAACAAATAATGGAAAATGAAAAGACAAAACACTTCAATACAGAACATTTCAATACACTTTGCTTAAAACATTTTTGCTTTAAAACAGTTTTGCTAAAAACTGAACAGTGATGAGTGAGGCAACACATTTTCTCCCATTCTTTATCACTAAAAGTACAAAGTAAATGGTCTCCCATTTACCCATAAGTTTAGTTTTTTCAGTCGGAGTTTGTGTTTGCAACATGAAACACAAAAGAGAAACCCTGTGTGGTATTGGGTCCGGGTCTAGGCAAGTGCGCTCAAATAATGTGAGGTCTCGAGTCAGTGCTTGTCCTTGTCTTAACAAAGCTCTGTAATTGCTTATACTTAAAGCGCTGTATGAAGGTGATGTCTGAGCCATATAATGTCCTTATTCCCATTGTGGAGTGCAGATGGTGAAGTCTGGGCAATGGGTCATCAATGACCTCCCTATAAGAGTTAGGGTTTAGGCCTGGCAGGAAGTCTTTGTTATATGTCAGAGGAATAATTGGGGATAATAAGCCGAGAGGCCATAACTTTCTATGACACAACACCACACCTGTAAGGTAGCGAATATAGAGCAGTTCCCCTCTCCTTCACCCACCCCCTTTGGTCAACCACGGAAGGAGAGTGATTTGTGTCACAGCTCCCGGCTCTCACACTGTAGAAAATAATAAAAAATTACTTAGCTGGGTTGCAGCGGATCGCGGCTCCAAACCTCTTGTGCAACATTCCCCAGCTGGTGTGGCGTTCTAAGAGGCACCGACTGCTGCTGTTCAGTTTTAAATAGATTACTTATCAAAGTTGCCTTTCCCCAGTGTGCTGTGGAATTGGTAACCATCCAGCAACAGAGTAGGGTGCTTCTTCGATTCTTTGGATTGTCCACTTCCTCCCTGATTATTTAACACAAATGATATTAGCTTCCAATTAACAAAATAACACTAGGCATTGTTTCATTTCATTTGGTCCTATGGAAGAGTCATATGAACATTACTATTCCACTCTCTTACATAAATACAGTGCTTGGAGTGTTCTTTTAAAGGCAATAAACCTTGTATGTTCTGCATGATTCTCTTGGAAATGTTTTTTTAAAAAGCTTCCCCATATTTTGAAATTTGATAATCCCACCAAGTATGGGTAAATATTTCAGATATGGTCACATACATTGTAAAATGGGTTAATTTGCAGTGGCTTAATTAATTAACAGACCTGTGGAGATTTAATTAATTAATTAACAGACCTGTGGAGATTTAAAAAAAGTATTATTTTTTTCTAATTTGGCTTTTTTTTTTACCTAAAATTGCACTTTTAATTCACGTAGAGTTTCCTAAATTCACAATTCGGTGAATATCCATAAAAGTTTTGTTGAAATTTTAATGGCTTGTGTGGGAGGGATAGGGGGCTGTACGTCTCAAAGTACAAATCTCTATATAGACTTTATTATCTCCACACTTACAACATTTTAATCATCTCTCCGAGTAATGTCATTTTAATTACCTATCTCCTCAACACTTTTCTTCTGTCCTTGTTTTCCATAGGAGATCTGTTGCTTCTTTAGTCCACACTGCTCATCCTCAGATTTCATTAATCTTTTCAAGCTATGCTTTTTTGGTTGGTATACCTGACCATTCTTCTGCAGGTCAGGCATATTCTCTCTATCAGATTTTCTCTCACATTGACTACCCAGCTCTCCAGATAAGGCTAGCTTCCCCTTCTTCTGTCTGTCCTCCTCCTACTAATTGCAAATGTCTCTTCTATTTGTCTGAGAATGTACAGGAGACCTCTGGTCCTCCTCCTCAAAGCATCGCAAATAGTCTCTAGCATCTCTATTAATAATTGCACTCACTCTATTCTTGCATGATTTCCTTTGTAATTGGGATAGAGCCACCTTCATTGCTGGTGTTGTAACTGCCAAAGCAGCAGCAGAAGATTTTGGACAAAAATATTGCATCTTCATTCACTAATTTATCATTTGATACAATCTCTTCTTTAGTGGAACTTTCTATTTCTATTTCTGTCAATAGTAAAACAAGGCAACACCATAGTTACCAGAACAACCACAGCTTAATGTAGTTAGTTGTTCTGGTGTCTATAGCATGTCTCCGTTGGCTGTTGAAGCCCTTACAGATGCAGGCAATTGTACACATTCTGATCAAAACAAAATGTAAACAAAACCTGGAATTGTACTATATGTCTGTACAACCATAATTTACCTCTTTCATATTAAGGGGAACCACATATTATATATAATTTTGTTCAGGAGAAACAGGGCTTTCATTGTATATCAAATATTTAGATATGAAACATAATGTAATATGAATAAAATATAAAGAAATGTGAGAAAATAATTTTACGTCCATTTCCATAATGGCTTGACTAATGGACAATGCCACTAAATATGAGTATAGAAACCACCTGTGTTTCTGCATCTCCAACTGATAGGAATTTGACTAAGATACTGTCAGGATTACAAGTTGATCCAGCACGCAGTACTGTGTCACACCTAGGACTAAGTATAACCGGACCTTAGAATGGCTGGACTTAACGTCTCCAAGAATAGTCAAAATACTTGCCGAGGTCAGGGACACAGAATCAAACACAAAGATGAGGGAAAGTGGAAATGGTAGTGGATTCAGCGCTTAGTGTATCAACGGAATAGTGTAGAATATGAATAAAGGCAGCAACCTAAAATAAAGACGTTCCCTCTCAATGCGTCAAATAAATTGATAATCTAATGAAGATATTAGGTCGCGCCAAAAATTAGGTATAGCAGGATAAAACAGATAATTTAACAACAAATAAAAACTAAAATCTCTTTGTATTAAACAAATAAAACACATATAAATAATGTGGTAAGTACTTACAAATGGCAGTACATACAAGGAAAAAGTGATAAACAGTCCTAAAATAAGCAGGGAATAATCACATCCGCTTACGGGAAGGAAACAGTCCTGATGGAATTGGAGAAATGAATGAGACTTCTTGTTCCAGGTGCCAATATGCAAAAGAAAACAGAAGAAAAAATCCAATAGTGTAGAATGTATTTACTGCTTCTTTGTGGAAGTTCAAAGTGAGAAGGTATCACACTCACCTATATTAGAGCTAGAACTAGCTCGGGTATGTTTCGCATTCAGTGGTACTGGTCCCCGACTGGTGGGATATAGACGTATGTACGTAGCAGAGATCCTCAGGAAAGAAGAGGATAACACAGGATAGGCGAAACAGCATGGGCGTCCGCAGGGGGGGGGGCAAGGGGGGGCACTTGCCCCCCCTCTGGATTTTTCAGTTTGTTCTGATATTTTTCTTGTGAGATTTAAAATGAACTGCAATCAGTAGGTGGCGCTGTGTATAGAGAGAGACAGGGATAGGAAGCTGCATCTTATCCCTGCTTCTCTCTGCTGATTGAAACCGCAGGGGAGCAACACATGCAGCCAGAGACAGCCTACAGATCAGGTAAGTGAGGGATGGGAGAAGGGATTGAGATAGCCTATAGATTTGGGGGGGCAGCAGCCTATAGATTAGGGAGTGTGGCTGGGGGGGCAGCAGCCTATAGATTAGGGGAGTGAGGGGGGGCACTTCTACAGGATTAGGGAGTGAGGGGGCATCCTATGATTAGGGAGTAAGGGGGGGCATCCCATAGATTAGGAGCAGGGGGGCATCCTACAGACTAGGGAGTGAGGGGGCATCCTATAGATTAGGAGTAAGGGGCAGCAGCCTATGATTAGGGGAGGAGGGGGCAGCAGCCTAGATTAGGAGTGAGGGAGGGCAGTCTATAGATTAGGGAGTGAGGCTAAAGGCAGCCCATAGGATTAGAGAGAGTGAGGGGGGGCATCCCATAGATTAGGGGAGTGGAGGGGGGGCAGTCTATAAAATTAGGGAGTGGGGGGGGGACAGCAGCCTATAGGATTAGAGAGTGAGGGGGTGAATCCATAGATTAGGGGAGTGAGGGGGGGAAGCCCATAGATTAGGGAGTGGGGGGCAGCAGCCTATAGGATTAGGGGAGGGGCAGCAGCCTATAGGGATTAGGGGAGTGAGGGGGGAAGCAGCCTATAGATTAGGGGAGTGAGGCTGGGGGGGGCAGCAGCCTATAGATTAGGGGAGTGAGGCTGGGGGGGCAGCAGAGGGTGTTTGTGTGTGCGTGTTTGTTCGGGTCCTGTTAGTGTGCTGTTTGTGTGCTGTGTGTGGGTGTTTTGTGTTTGTCAGGGTGCTGTTTGTGTGTGAGTGTGCTGTTTGTGTGTGGGTGCTGTGCGGGTGTTGTGTGTGGGTTTTGTGTGTTTGTGAGGATGCTGTTAGTATGCTGGGTGCTGTGTGTGCGAGGGTGAAGTATGTGTGTGGGTGCTGTTTGTGGGCTGTGTGTAGGTACTGTGGGTGTGTGTGTGTGCTGTATGTTTGGGTGGAGTGGGGGCAGATTAGTTAATATCACAGTCCTGCTGCCTTCCCTGGTGGTTCAGTGTAGAGTGAACTCTAGCCCGGGTTCTCTGCTGCCTCCCTCCATGCTGCTGTGGACCAGTGAGGTAGAACTTTGATCTCCCCACCGGCCCATGGAGGCTTAGACCAGAGCCGCCGCTCGGATAGCGTCGGCTCTGCATGAGCCGACCGGGGAGATCCAGAGATCTCCCCTGCCGGTCTCAATCCATTGGCGTGCACACCCTGTGCGCACGCCTATGGAAGTGAGGGATGGGGAGACAGCCTACATGAAGAGTCAGCAAGGAGCAAGAAGGTAAAGTAAGAAAAGGAGAAGGAACAGAAATGAGCAGGAAGGGACATCAAGGAGCAGCAAGGAGCTGGAAGGGACAGCAAGGAGCACAAAAGGTAAAGTAGGAGAAGGAGCACAAAGGAACAGAAATTAACAGGAAGGGTCAGCAAGGAGCTGGAAGGTAAAGCAGCACAAAGGTAAAGTAGACGGAGCAGAAAGGGTCAGAAATGACCTGGAAGGGGCAGAAGGAGCACAAAGGTAAAATAGGAGAATGAGCAGGAAGGGCCTGCAAGGAGCACAAAGGTAAAGGAGCAGAAAGAATCAGAAGGAGCACAAAGGTAAAGTAGAAAAGGGAGCAGAAAGGGATCAGAATGAGAAAGGAGCAGAAGGGCGCTAAATAAGCAGAAAGTAGCAGAAAGGTAAAAGAGCAGAAGGGGCCAAGGATAGAAAACAGTGTCAGAAGAAAAAAAAAAAGACTGTAAAATGAAGGAGAGGAAAAGGAGATTGGAGCAGGAAGGAACCCTCCACTTTATTCTGGACACCACATCATAAGGCTTTGGTACCTGGGCCAAGCAGGAAAACGCTGGACCTTCTCATCTCCAAAGGTAAAAAAATATCAGTATTAATGTGTTCACTTTTATTTACTGAGTGTCAGGAAGCACAGAGTGCCATTGGGTAGGGGTGTTGCTGATTGGCTAGAGCGGTCAGCTGGCACTCTAAGCCAATCAGTAGCTCCCCATTCATAAAAAAGTAAAAATATTTTATGAACCGGGAACTAGAGATTGGCTTAGAGCGTCAACTGTCCACTCTAGCCAATCAGCGGCACCCATGCCTGACGTCAATCTGCACTTCCTGACACTCTGTTTCAGAAGCCAAATACCACTGAGCGACCTGGAGCTGGAGGAAGCCTTTGGGGTTAAACCATTTGAGAGCAATTTAACCCCTTAAAGGAAAGCGAGCACCCAGGGGCTTCCTGGCATCACAGCATTTTCATTTAGGTGAAGTTGTTATGGTGACCAGAATGGTCCTTTAATTTGCTTAAAGGAACACTATAGTGTCAGGAATACAAACATATATTCCTGACACCATAGTTGTGAAAACGCTCTTCACCCTGGCTTTATGTGATAATGGCTATGCCCCTTCCCTTCCATGACACTGTCAAAAAGGTACCAAGCATGGATGTCATTACAATTATGCCCCCCCCCCCTGGAAAAATTCCTGCGGACGCCCATGCTGGGCAGTTAACTTAAATGGGTACACGTTATTTAGGAAGGATAGGAAAAACAAGAAGGGTAGTGGGGTATGTTTGTATGTCAGCCATGAGTTAAAGTAAAATCTTAGGCATGTGAAGTGTGACAAGGAAAATGTGAAAGCTTGATGGGTAGATATCTGCTTGGGGCAAACAAAGGGAAATCAATTATTGGTTGGGATATGTTATAAACCACCTAATGTAAATATTAATGAGGAAGAACAGCTGTAAGCGCAAATTGGGAAAGCTGCAAATCGGGGTAACACGTTAATTATTGGAGATTTTAATTAACTGCACATAAATTGGGATAGAGGGACTAGTAGTTCAGCAGGGGGAATCCCGTTTTTGAATGTGTTAAATGACACCTTTATGTCACAACTGGTACAAGCACCAACCAGGAAGGATGCTTGTCTGGATCTCGTTATAAAAAACAATGTTGATCTTTTAACCAACATTCAAGTAGGGGAGCATTTGGGAAATAGCGATCACAATACGGTAACTTTTGAAATAAACTCAAAAAAGCAAAAGCACGTGGGGTATAATAAAACGTATAATTTAAAAAAGCCAATTTCAATAAGATTACGGCAGCTATACAACATATCGACTGGCATAAACTCCTTAGTGATAAAAACACTGAGGAAAAATGGAAACTATTCAAACAACTATTAGAAATGTACATTTCTCAGTATGTACCATTGGGTAATAAATATAAAAGAAACAAATTAGAACCAATGTGGCTTAGTAGCAGGGCCGGTGCAAGGATTTTTGCCGCCCTAGGCAAAAGAAGGATTTGTCACTGAACATCGCAATGCCCCACCCATAGAACTAATGCCAGTGCTGCACACAGTGTGTGTTTACATTAAAAAGCCTGCAGGGACAAACTATAGACACCAGAACAACTTTATTAAGCTGCAGTGGTTCTGTGGACTATAGTGTCCATTTAATGTGAGGTAAATTAGAGATTAGTGTCACTAATAATATACTAGATTGCCTACTTACAACCAGATGAGGATGATGATGGGCTCTAGCTGCAGTCTGGCTCCACTGGTCTGGTGTAGAACAGGCTCTCTGGAGGCGGTTTGTAACTGTGGTCACAAAAATCAATGTTCTGGGAGAACGTGAAGCAGCTCCATTTTTTTGAGGGGAAGCAGCTCCATTTTTTGGGGCCTCTTACACAGCTCAAGGTCTGGGCCCCAGGGCCTGACGGTGAGTATGCCCATAAAGCCCACCCATAAGTCCACCTATATGTTCCACCCATGAGTTCGCTCACAGGGAGTAGAGTGTGTAGGGGATGTGTTATGTGTTACTGTAGAGGATCTAATGTGTGTGCTTATGGAATGTAGTGTATAGGGATACCAGTTTGTGTGGGTGATGCAGTGTGTTTGTGTGTAGTGGAAGCAGTGTGTGTGTGTGTATAAGGGATGTATTGTGTGTTTCTTGTTGTGTGTAAGGGATGCATTGTGTGAATCTGTGTTTGTATGCATAAGGGATGCAAAGTGTGTTTCTGTGTATGTAAGGGATGCAGTGTGTGTGTCTGTAAGGGGTGTGTTGAATGTGTGTAAGAGATGCATTGTGTTTCTGTGTGTGTGTGTAAGAGAAACAGTGTGTGTTTGCATGTGTGTGTAAGGGATGCATTGTGTGTGTTCTGTGTATATGTGCAAAGGATGCATTGTCTTCATGTGTAAGGGTTGCATTGTGTGTTTCTCTGTAAGGGAAGCATGTTGTGTTTCTGTGTGTATAGGGATGCATAGTGTGTGTGTGTGTGCGTGTGGTGTGAAAGAGCTCCCTGTCTCCCTGTCCTATAGAGCTCTCCCTTCCATTCCTTAGAGATCTCCCCTGCCCCTTAGTGGTCTCTCCTCTCCCCCCCCCCACCTCCCTTAGTGGTCTCCTTTTCTCCCCGACTTTCCATTAGTGGTCTCTCCTCTCCCCCCACCCTCCCCTAGTGGTCTATCCTCCACCCCCCTCCCTTAGCGGTCTCTCCTCACACCCCTCCCCTAGTGGTCTCTCCACCGCCCCCTCCCTCCTTTAGTGGTCTCTCCCTCCCCTACGTTCTCATCTCCCACCCCTTGTGTTTTCCTCTTATTCCCCCCTCCCTGTGTTCTCCTCTTCTTCTCCCCCCTGTAATCTTCTCTTCTTCTCCCCCCTCCCTGTAATCTTCTCCCCTCCCCCTTGTAATCTTCTCCCCCCTTCCCTCCCTGTAATCGCTGCTTCTCCCCCCGTAATCTTCTCTTCTTCTCCCCCCATAATCTTCTCTTCTTCTCCCCCCCAATCTTCTCCCCCCTCCCATCAATCATCTCCCCCCCACTTCCCTCCCATCAATCATCTCCCCCCCTCCTTCCCTCCCATCAATCATCTCCCCCCTCCCTCTCTCTTATCAAATCTCCTCCTGATCATCTCCCCATCCATCATCCCCCCCCTCCCTCCCTCCCATCAATCATCCTCCCCTCCCTCCCCATCAGTGATCATCTCCCCCCCTCTCTCTCTCTTATCAAATCATCTCCCTCCCATGTCCCATCTCCCCCCTCCCTCCATCAATCATCTCCCCCCCCTCCCTCCCATCAATCATCTCCCCCTCCCCTCCATCAAATCATCTCCCCCCCCCTCCCATCATCTCCCCCCCCTCCCTCCCATCAATCATCTCCCCCCTCCCTCCCATCGATCATCTCCCCCCCCCTCCCTCCCTCCCAATCAGCTCTCCCCCTCCCTCCCATCAATCATCCTCCCCCCCTCCTCCCCATCAATCACATCTCCCCTCCCTCCCCATCAATCATCCTCCACCCCTCCCCTCCCATCAATCATCTCCCCCCTCCCTCCCCATCTCCCCCCCCCTCCCTCCCCATCCAATCATCTCCCCATCCGCTCCATCAGCTTCTCCTCACCTCCCCTTCCCTGCTGTAGCGTGGCCGAGCTCCTTTCCGGTCCCACGACCCGGCGGAACTGACAGGAAGTGCACACTGAGTGTGCACTTCCTTTCAGTCCCGCCGGGTCGCGGACCGGAAAGGAGCTCGGCCACGCTACAGCAGGGAAGGGGAGGCACTGCGGCAGCCGGCTGAGCGCTCTCTATAGAGCGCTCAGGTGGCTGCAGAATTTAAAGGGCCGGCGATGGGGGCGCAGGGCGCCCCCTCCTATATGGCGCCCTAGGCGGCTGCCAAGTTCGCCTTATAGGAAGCGCCGGCCCTGCTTAGTAGAGAAGTAAAACAAGAGATTAAAAATAAGAAAAGGGCATTTAAAGCATTTAAATTGGACAAATCAGAGGCATCCTATATAAGATATAAGGAAGCCAATAATACTTGTAAAAAGGCAATAAAAGTGGCTAAACTAGAAAATGAGAAATTGATAGCCAAAGAATGCAAAACCAACCCCAAATTTTTTTTCAAGTACATCAATTCTAAAAAAACAAAAAATGAAAGTGTAGGTACACTAGAAACAGAGTTGGGTCTGTTAGTTAATAAAGACCAGGAAAAGGCAGAAATTTTAAATAACTATTTTTCTTCAGTATATATTAATGAGGATCCTATGGCAAGAGATATGCAAATGATTGTGGCAAAAAACTTGCAGATAACTTGTGATTGGATAACTCAAGACAAGGTGCTATAGCTATTAAAGAAAATCAATGTAAATAAAGCTCCAGGGCCTGACGGTATCCACCCACGAGTACTTAAGGAGCTAAGTGGGGAAATAAGTGAACCTCTGTATTTAATTTTTCAAGATTCTTTTGTTTCAGGTATTGTACCGCAGGATTGGAGGAAGGCAGATGTTGTTCCTATATTTAAAAAGGGTTCGAAATCCTTGCCTGGAAATTATAGACCTGTGAGCTTAACTTCTGTGAATGGGGAAATTATTTGAACGGCTATTAAGGGATAATATTGAGGAATTCATTGGGAAGAACTGTGTTATTAGCAATTATCAGCATGGTTTTATGAAACATAGGTCATGTCAAACTAACTTAATTGCATTCTATGAAGAAGTAAGTAGAAGTATAGATCAGGGTGTTGCAGTGGATGTGATCTACTTGGATTTTGCCAAGGCATTTGATACGGTTCCTCACAAAAGGTTGGTCTTCAAACTAAAAGAAATTGGTTTAGATGAATATTCTTGTTCTTGGGTAGAACACTGGCTTAGGGATAGAGTACAGCGAGTTGTCATTAATGGTAAATTTTCAAGCTGGACAAAAGTGGTAAGTGGTGTCCCTCAGGATTCTGTTTTGGGACCGCTTCTATTTAACATATTTATAAATGATCTTGAAATGGGCATTGAAAGCCATGTATCAGTGTTTGCAGATGGCACAAAACTTTGTAAAGTAATAAAATGTGAGCAGGATATTGCCTTGGGATTTGGATAGATTGGGGGACTGGGCACTAAAATGGCAGATGAAATTTAACGTAGAGAAATGCAAAGTTATGCACTTCGGGATTAAGAATGGTAGTGAACTAGGGATAACCACACACGAGAAGGATTTGGGAATTGTTATAGACAAATTAGGCAGCAATATGCAATGTCAATCTGCAGTTGCTAAGGCCAGTAAGGCTTTGTCATGTATAAATAGGGGCATAAATTCTCGAGATGAAAATATAATTTTTCCTCTTTATAAATCGCTGGTAAGACCACACCTTGAATATGCTGTGCAATTTTGGGCACCTGTTCTAAAGAAAGATATCATGGCACTAGAAAAAGTGCAGAGACGAGCTACAAAATTGATGAATGGAATGGAGCATTTTAGTAACGAAGAAAGGTTAAAAAATTTAAATCTGGGAGGGGCGTGGCCGACCGTTCACAGAGATGGCCGCATGTTAGAGCGGCTCCGGCAATGCAGGCAGCAAAATAAGCCGGGACACGAGCGCCCACAACAATGGGGAACCCCAAACGGACGCAGAGCGCCCACACCAGCAGCGGGAAAGTACCCGCCGAGAAACCGGGCTCGGTTACGAAATTCTTCAAGGACCAGGTCGGCCGCATGGCGGAGCGAGGAGAGATGAATATGGCGCCGGGAGACTGCCTCTCTAATCCCTCCAGCCCAGCTGCATCCGAGGCTTCATTAACCTCAGCAGATCCAGAAAAACAAAAAAAACACCCACACCACAATTCAGCCCTAAGCCTGGAACATAATGATACCCCCGCTATAGGACCTAGCCTCCATACTACCACTGCACCACACCCCATAAGGTCACACGGGAATATATGCTCATTCCCGGTTCCAGAAGATGATGACAAACGCAAATGCCTGCTTGCCCACCGACACATGCGAGCCACACGCCAACGACACAGCACACACACCACCGCAGCTGTACCTGCTGCGCCTTAATAGACACCATACACACTGCCTTAGAGCTGGTGACACCTGCGGATCGGCCCGTAGCAGTACTAGACCTGGTACGGGAGAACCGCAACCGGCAACTTCACTGAGGCCCCAAGTTATCAGACACACTAATACAAATACACATCTCACACTTCCTGTACATAGTTACGTCCGGCACTACACGCTATTCGGACAAGGGAGCACACGCCCCCAACGGTCTCCGGCAGGGTGTAAGACCGGAGTCTTGATTTGGGTTTATACTTGTTTTTGTTTATGTTTATGCTTTTGATCTGAGAGTTAACGGTGTACTTTCCTTCTGCAGTAGAGGTTACCTACGAAGCGCCTACGTGGCCACTCTACGGTGCGTGACTGCTGCTGCCCGCAGCCCGGACGAGGGGGATCCACCCACGGCTAGAGGGACACAGACCACACAACAAAGTAGGTGCTCACACGAACACACCACCACATCCCACACGAATGGCCCTCAAGGTCGCTTCACTCAACGTTAAGGGACTTACCCCGAACAAACGTTGGCTATTAATGAGATACCTAAAATCACGCAAAATAGACCTGGCCCTTATCCAAGAAACCCACATTCCTAGGTCAGCGTTAATAACCCTGAAAGACAGACATTTCCCACAGACCCACGAGGCGAGAGCGCTCCACAAGCAAGCCGGGGTAGCAATACTGGTACACAAAAACTGCCCACTCCACGTCACGGAGACACTAGCTGACCCGGAGGGCCGCTACATCGCCCTAACAGGCACAATCCATAGCACGAAAATAAGAATCATTAACGTATACGCTCCTAACCTACCAGACCCAACATATTGGGACACGCTCAAGACAATAATACAAGCCGGAGGGGGAGGGATAACGCTAGTGGGGGGAGACTTTAACGCTGTCCCATGTCCAGCGGTTGACAGAAGCTCGAAAACAGGCTCACCCAGGTCCCATGGGAGAGGGGCACAGGATAAGTTATTGCACACATTCCTCACCGACACACAACTCCTAGACGCCTGGAGGCTCCAACACCCAGACATACGCGACTACACATTCTATTCGGCACCCCACGGAACATACTCCAGAATTGACCACATTTTCCTCAATGGGGTAGGGATGTCCAAACTAATACATACTGACATAGGCAGTATTACATGGTCGGACCACGCAGACGTATCTGTCACATTGGACAAACTCAAATACTCCGCCACTTGGACATGGCGCCTTAACACAAGTCTGTTAAATAGCGACCCTATATGCGACGACACGCGTACTCTCCTCACAGAATACTTCACACACAACAACACGCCAGAAGTCAACCCGGTGGCGGTATGGGCGGCTCATAAAGCGGTCGTAAGAGGGCATTTCATCAAAGCAGCAACACACAAAATAAAAGTGCAACACACGGGCACTGATAGAATCTCAGAATGCGCTCAGAAAAGCGGAACAACAGCACAAACACAACCCCACGGCGGACAAATTAACAGAACTCACCGCATTGAGACACTCGATTAGGAGTATCCTGCTCGAGGGGGTGGCACACTCCATCCAGAGGTCTAGGCGACTGTTCTATGAAAAGTCCAACAAAATGGACTCCCTATTAGCCAGAGCCCTACGCCCCCGCGGGGACCACAAACCCATCACGAAAATACGCACACTTACCCAAGGAATTGCGACAACTCCCCAAGAAATAAACAGGGTGTTCACAGAATATTACTCGAACCTATATGGGCAGACACCACTTGCACAAAACACGCCAGAACAAATACGTTCCTCACTGCGCACACTCCTAGCCGGCATTACACTCCCTGCGCTGACACACACCGATATCGCAGACCTCCAAGAACCAATAACACAATCAGAGGTAGAAAAGGCAATCGCGATCTTAAAAGGGAACAAATCCCCAGGCCCCGATGGGTACGACATAGGGTATTACAAGAAATTCAAGGAAGAATTGGCCCCCCACCTTACCTCTTTATATAACCACTTCATGACAGGCGGTGAGCCGGATGCGGACATGGCATTGGCCAACATCACGCTTATCCCCAAACCCGGGAAAGATGCCGAATTGGCAGCAAATTATAGACCCATTTCACTGATCAATTCGGACCTCAAAATCTACGCAAAAATCCTGGCGGCCAGGTTAGCACCGATGCTCACATGCCTGATTCACCCCGATCAGGTGGTGTTTATACCCGGCAGGCAACTGTACGAAAATACACGCAGGGGGGCGGTGCTCACATGGTACATGCAAATGTCCGAGCGGCCTTCATTGGCCTTGTCCCTAGACGCGGAGAAGGCCTTTGACAGGGTGCAATGGCCATACCTGTTTGGCCTGCTGGAGGAATGGGGCTTCCCGGGGACATACATCCAGGCCACACGTGCCCTATATACCAACTTAAGGGCCCAAACCCTAATAGCAGGAGCCACTAAGACCCCCTTCCACCTTCACAATGGCACACGGCAGGGCTGTCCTCTCTCCCCACTATTGTTCGCTATTTCCCTAGAACCGCTCCTACAAGCCATACGCCAGCATCCACACATACACGGAATACGGGCTGGGGGAAAAACCTTCAAAGTCTCTGCATATGCGGACGACGTAATGCTGACCCTCACAGACCCTCTGACCTCCATGGAATACCTGAAAGAACTCCTAGACAACTATGGCACCCAAGCGGGTTACAGAGTAAACCTCACCAAATCCATGGCACTATCATTCCATCTCCCGACACAGGACAGAGTCACTATACAGAATAGATACCATCTGCCCACCACAGCCGACAACATACCCTACTTAGGGATCAAACTCACGGCGCAGCATTAACACTTACACGACACAAACTACGCCTCATTGATCTGTACACTTATAAGGGACCTGGAGCAGTGGACAGACAAACCCATCTCATGGCTAGGTAGACTCCACTCAGTTAAAATGAACATTCTCCCTAGAATACTGTTCCTGTTCCAGGCCCTGCCCACACCGATCAAAAGGAGTGACCTAACCACACTCCAAAAGGCAATAGACATGTTCATTTGGCAAAAGAAACGGCCCAGAATAGCTAGAAAACTCCTATACCGGCACCAAAAACAGAGGGGGACTGGGACTACCGAACTTGTACATATACTACCTAGCGGCGCAGACAGCGCAAATCGCATACTGGCACTCCACCCCGGACACCCGACGGTGGGTGGAACTTGAGACATCACCAATGGGACAAGATCTCCCACAATTTTACCTCTGGTTACATAGGGCACACAGAGCACTCCCCAGAGTAACCTATCCAGCAATAACAAATTCCCTGAGAATATGGGACCACATAGCAGTCAAGTACTTTTTAAGCAGGTTCCCCTCCCCAATGTCCCCTGTACTTCGGAACCGATCCTTCCAACCGGGAATGACAGCAGGCGACTTTAGTGGCCTCGAGAGGGCAGGCATACAGAGATACTGCCACCTATACAAAAACGATCAAATAGTCACTTACGATCAGCTCAGGGTACAATCCCCCCTAACAACTAGGGATTTCTTCCGCTACCTCCAATTACGAGACTTCGCTAGCTCAAAAGAAGTCAAAGAGATAGCCACCCTCCCCCTCACCTGGTTCGAGAATATATGCTACCAAGAAACACACCCCAAAGGACTCATATTATTATTGTACTCACATCTCAGCGGAGAGGCCAAAGAATGGGGGGAATTACGTTACACAGATCAGTGGGAGACGGACCTGGGAGAGACATTAGAGGGCTCCGACTGGCAAGATATATGGGAGGCCACAGCCAGAACATCAATATGTGTCACCCTGCAAGAACAATCATTTAAAACACTTTTCAGGTGGTACACCACACCATTAAAACAATACCGCATGCAGATCACTGCCACAGATCAATGCTGGCACGGTTGCGGGGAACGAGGCACCTACATGCATATGTGGTGGAAGTGCCCCTTGGTACAAGCATACTGGGTTCAAATTATCAGTCTGAGCACAAACATACTGCAGAGGCCGCTACAGCTAGACCCCTGGGCCTGCCTACTCTCCAGACCAACGGTCGGCCTCCCACGCCCAGAGCAACAATTATTAAACATGATTTACTTAGCGGCACGCAGGGCATTAGCACAGAAGTGGCGATGCCTGGAATTACCCCCGGTGGCCTTGGTCCTAGCAAAGATAAAAGACAATTACCTAATGGATAGACTAACCTCCCTAGTCAGATACACCACTAAAAAGTTCAACAGAACTTGGGAGTTATGGGAACAATATCAGGAAAACATGGCGGGTTGATAAGAGACTCAAGCACACACATGGGAGGGGGAGCGGAGGGGACACACAACGACTCTCGTCCGGGCTGCGGGCACGGATGCACCGACATACTGCACTACCGGACGCCAGGTTTAGTTCCATATATGTTTTATATGTTTTACCCAAAGGAATATTTCGAAATGTTAAATGAGTATTAGTTAACAACCATCTAATGCCATGCCATTCCAGGGGACATATGTACTTAGGCCAAGACTCGATAGACAGCCACGTAGAGGTAGTGTGCTAAAACACTAAATAGCAATTCAGCCACTGATGAGACTGGAAGCGCTAGAAAACAAGCACATCAGTTGTAGATCACTGCTCTTCTTCTCTATACTACTGAACCACTGAAAAAGGCTTCTGTGTAAGCCTATACAAGTATTAATGTATGTACCTCTATTGCGGCCTCTACGTAAGCCTATACCCTGACAAGATGATACGTTCATACAGCGGCTTCTGCGAAAGCCTTGGCCGTGTCACAAATGTGCACTTTATTATTGGCTATGAAAAAATACAAAAAAAAAATAAAAAAAAAAAAAATTATCACACGATAAACATCTCCTGGACTACAGTGGCAGGCACGCTAATTTATTTTATTACTGTTTTTAAGTTCGTATAATTTCCCATGCATTTGTTATGATACCGTTAATTATCATTAGAACATAAATACACCAACTGAAGTGTCACATGAAACCACAGTAAGGTCTT